GTCGGTTTCTGTGCCAAGGTGGGTTCGTTTTGTTCCATGTGGATGGACGAAATCCACTTCGCACCACCTAAGAAGCCCTGGAATGATAACTCCCCTGTAAATACCAACAATCAGTGGGTTCCCATGTTTTCAAAGTGCAGGATTTTGTCCATCCACAGGGATCCTTTTCGAACAAAACAAATGCCAGCATGGCTGCGGGTCAACACCAATGGGATCCCATTTTCGTGTAGGTGCACCACCCATTTTAGTCCATTTTAGCGCGGATTGGATGTTCACAGGGGGTACGGGTGTTTGACCCATAGCCACATAGACCCCCGATAGCGAGAACCACAGCGACGATTGCACCCCAGCACCTCCAACAGCACCGCCCGAAGAGCGCCCCAAACATCACCTGGCCGTCAATCTCGCAAAAATGCGCCTGCACGACTAGCACCTCTAGCAGCACCCCAAACAGTATCCAAAAGAACCACTTGCACCAGCCCCCCAAACTGCACGCCCCCTAGCACCAGCCCATCAACCTCGCAATTCACTTCCCTCTGTTAAGTAGAAGTTAGCCCATGCGCCGACTTCCGATAGCCTTTTTGGATGAGAAATAGGAGATTTCGCTTTTTAGCTTCTGAGGGTTCTGAGCTCAACGTGTGCGCAATGGCCGCTTCGGATGACAGCCTGAAGACCCCGTCGGAGGCGTGCACCGACCTGGTGCCGCTGCAGGTTCTTGGGCCGGGAGACCTCAATCCCTTCTGGAGCGAGAAGGCCAAGGAGGAGGCGGTCTTGAAGGCCATGCGCCCATCGTCACTCCCGGCCCGGTGAACGATGACCCGGGGGTAGGAAGCTCTTGTCCGCAGCGGGAAGCCTGGGCGGTGGAGACGATGATGCGCGGGGTAGCGGAGGAGAATGGTCGCCTTTGGCAGGAGCTGGAACGCCTGAGGGCAATGGTGGGAAGGCCAGCGGTAGAGCAGGCATCCTTCATGAAAAAGATGGCGGCGGCAGCGGGCCTTGGGAGGGCTGGAAGCTGCGGTCGCAATGAGGGCCAGCAGTTCTGGTGGCCCAAAAGTATTTGAACGGCCTGATGATGAGCGTTCCGGTTGGAGGAACCATGGACAGCCGCAAGGCAAGGGCTATGGAGTTTTGGCTGGCAAGATGTTGCAGGACTTCCTGGATGGTCTCGGGGGCATGATGGCGCCTGGAGCTGCGGGAGTTCCTCTTCGGCCAGACCAACAGGGTGTGAGAGCCCTTGGAGATGGAGCCCAAGGTGAAGGACTGGCTGTCCGAGAAAAGGATGCTGCTGGTGCTCTTGAGGTGGACTTCTTGGAGTTCCTGGAGGCGTTCTTGGAGGTCCTGGTGCTCCTGGAGGTGGATTTCCTGGAGCCTGGAGGCGGGTTTCCTGGCGCTCCTGGAGGTGGGTAATGGCTAGGCGGAGTACTCTTTCACGGGGCAGTCCGGCTTCATGTGCTGGGTACTCCCGCAATTCCAGCACCGGCCCATCTTTCCTTCTTCTCCCCACTCATGGGAAAAACCACACGCCTTCCCCTTTTTACAGACGCCGTCGACTGCTTGCCCTTGCCGTTTCCACCAGACATAGGCGCCCCGACCCCCTCCGGCTTGTCCTCGGGCTTGTCCATAGCCGGCTTCATCTCCTTCTCCGGAGATTTGACCTTGATCCTTGGCGTCCACGGCCTTCAGCTTCATGTTCGCCTTGAGGGGTAGCGTTGCACCTCCATGATACACCGCCTCACCTTCAGCTTGAAGAGCTTCTGCGAATTGTTGCACCGCCGGCGTAGGAGCAATATCCACCCGCAAAGCCGCCCGTGCAATCTGCAACCGGAACGACACCTGCGGCGAGTTCTTCGCCAGAATCCCGGAATACTTGTCCAACGTGGCCAGGAGCAAGACCGGGTCTCTCCAGTTCCTCAACGACATCATCCACTCCGTCATGCTCTGAGGAACCTTCTGGTCCACCACTTGCTTCAGCAGCGCGGTGCGTTCCCCAAGTCCCCCAAACTGATATACTCGAAGGATCTTGTACACAATTGCACACAATCCACCTCCCATTGGGCCACCAGCTCGTCTTCCGTGACTCCCTCGAAAGAGCCACCTGGCCCCTTTGCTCCACTCTCAACCATGGTGCTCTCCGAAGCGCCTCCGGTGACCTTGGATCCAACCTCAGCCTTTCCATGGGCTCCGCCTCCCTCCTGCCACCAGAGCGACGATGACGAGCTGAGGTCACTCATGAACGGGTTGACCATGGTGAGCCAATCTGGAGGAAGCACTACGTCGCCGGGTTCGGCTATGGCATCTACGGGATCGGGCAAGGGCTCGAGTGGGGAGCTCATGATGGAGGCGGTGAAGCTCTTGCGGTCGTTGAATCCAAGCGCAAAGGCAGTGAAGGTGAGTTCACTCAAGGAAGGCGGAGGAGGACGGGCTTTGCTGGATGGTGGGGCCACGCACATCCTTCGTCCGGCCTTCACAGAGCAGGAGTACGACGAGGCTCTGCCGATCAAGGTGGAGCTGGCGGCTGGGGAGGCAGTCCTGCGGCAGGATCCGGCACACGCTGCTCACCAACTTTGAGACGCAGGTCATCATTCCCTTGGGCAAGGTGGTCAGGATGGGCTACAAGGTGACCTGGGAGAACGACACGTTTGAGATGTGCGATGGGAACGGATCAAAGGTGGAGCTGCAATTGGGGTGTCCGACGGTTGCGATGGAAACGGCCTGGCAGTTGATCGATGGCCTAGAAAAGGAGGAGACTGAAGCGGAAAGGAGGTGCCGCGCTCTTCGAGCTGGAGACCTGGGTGATCTTGAGTGACTTGCGAGAAATGTGGCCGGGCGCCGGATGATCTCTTGGTGAGGGTCATTCCCACGGGAAACTGGGATGGGTCTTACCTTCCTTGGAAGGCAGAGGAAGCGGTTTCGGACGTGATCGTCCACCTCTTCTCGGGCCCGGATCAGTCGTGGTGGAAAAGGCAGCTGGAGACGAAGAGTCGGGCGGTCCTGTGCGTGGACAAGGAGGCCAACTTGTATCAGGATTTGTTACGAGATGAGGTGACGAGTTATTTGGCGGAGGTGTGCGAGCAGGGCAACGTGGACAGCCTGATCGGTGGCCCACCATGTCGCACTGTGAGCAAGCTTCGGTTTAGGACGCGGGGACCCCCACCCTTGAGGTCGAGGGACGGACCACAGAGGTTCGCCTTGGGAGTTGGCCTGGATAGATGCGGTGCTCTGGATGAGGCATCTGTGATTGTATATGTTGGCCCAAGGGTCACGGCAGAAGAAGGTGAGCTTTCTGAAGGAGCACCCCGGACCCGCAGGAGTACAAGGACAATGAAAATGGGACTGACTATCCGTCCTTCTTTGCATGGCCGGAGTGGGAGGCCTTCAAGAAGAGGTATGCCCTGGAAAAGATACGCATGGACATGGGAGCCTGCGGTCATAGCAGGAGGAAGCCTTTGACGCTGGGGTTGAAATTGCTGGAGGGAGGTGTGGCTCCGGGAAGCAGGTGGCGGAGGATTATGAAACGCTGGGGCTGGACGGGAGGATGAAAGCGTCTCGTTCTTGTGCGCCATGCCCTTTGGACTTCAAGCTGGAGGTCGTAAAAGGCATCCTGTTGGAGCTGGAACATCCGGTGGTCTCTCGGTTGTTGAAGGAGGAGTGGAGAAGGCATTGTGCGATGGATCACATGCCGTTTAGCCGGGAATGCCCTGATTGTCAACGAGGGGCGGGAAGGGCCCGGGCACACCGAAGGATTCCAAGCCCGGACACCTATACCTTGTCCTTGGATCTTTGTGGCCCATTTCGTCCGGGGCAAGATTTGGATGAGCCGAAGAGCCGATACTTTATGGTTGGTGTCTTCACGGTTCCGGTGTGTAGGAAGGGCAAGGAGGTGGTTGGCCTGGCACCGGGAATGGACAAGGTGCTGAGCAAGGAGCCTGGGGCGCTGGAGCTGGAGGTTGGAGAAGGTGAACTTCTACCGGAAATGGACGGTGAGGATCTGCCGAAGCATGTTGAGGGTGACCCAGGGGACATGGAGAAGTGGGAAGAATTGGTGGAGCCGGAGGAGGTAGAGGTTCGGAACGACACGATGGTAGAGCCTCTTGCGAGTCGGCAAGGGCATCAGCTGCTGGGGGCCTTGGCGAGGATGGTGGCCAGGTTGAATCTCCCGGTCCGGCGAGTTCATTCGCATAGGGTGGGGGAGCTGGCCAGCAAGGCGGTGCGCAGGTGGTGCTCGCACCGGGAAATCCTGCAACCTATACGTCTGGGAAAGACTGGAAAGCGAATGGACGCGCAGAAGGAGGGATCAATGTGGTCCTGAAGGCGACTGGTGTCCCGGAAGAACAATGGCCTATGATACGCCATGTGGGGGAACGGCGAGGTCGGCTTCCGCTGGAAGCGCTGGGGTATGTGACCCCGGAGCTGCTCTCCTACAACCGGGAGGCGATGGTCAGGACAAAGTCCTGGGATGACTTCCAAGGGCATTGGCGCGCTCGTAGGAGGAGGGGATGGGTCCGAGGCCGATGCATCAATGTCGTTGACCTCCATGTGGAGGGGGTTCCCTCGGAGCAGCCGGAAGGAAAGGATGGAGGCCTAGAAGGGGCCTTGGAGGTGGAGGAGAGGAAGACAGGAGAAGGACCTCTACGGGCACTGGGGGAGCCAAGGTTTCGACTTCGGGAGAAGATCGCGGTCAAGGACCTGGTGGTTGAGGAGCTTCAACAGCGTTTGTGGAGGGGGAGTGAGTGAGGAGTTTCGGAAAGTGGAGGTTGGAAAGGAGTATGACGGAGTGGCAATGGACCTCATATACCAGGTGGATTCGGAGAATGAGATTGCAAGAAGGCTGGAGGAGGTTCAGATGAAGGTTTGCCAAGTAGAGCTGGAGGAGGTTCAGGAGGTCAGTGAGGAGCTGTTCCTTCAGACGACGAGGACGGTTGGTCTTCAGGAGGTGCGGAAGAATCTGGAGGACTGGGTGCCGTCGATGAAAGCGGAGGTGGACAACTTCGTGAGCAACC